GGCAGAAGATGATGTGGGTGATAAAGAGAACAATGCTTCTTCACAGGTTAGTTAGTGATGCATGAATGGAAAGCATTCTGCATGATGTGTTGCTGCAGGAAACGACTACCTCAGCAGCCGGAGTGTCATTGGCCCAGAACAACAAGTCTGCATCAGTACGAGGCTGCACTAAACGGCGTTCGACGTTGGGCTGGCTTCGTGAACGTATTCAAGCGTTCGTGGTCTGTAATCACTTCAAACGTGGCATTCTATTCGCGATTCTCATCAATACGCTCAGCATGGGTGTGGAATATCATCAACAGGTGCGATATCCTATAATTTAGCGTGGCATTTCAACATAATGTGCAACGAAGACACATTAGGTTTCAGCTTTCGGATGGCGTATTTATTTGGGTAATTCAGATTATAATTTAGATTTGCCAGGTAAAAATAGTGAATGTAAAGTTGTGTTCATTTCAGCCCGAATTGTTAACGATAATCCTCGAGTATAGCAATTATTTTTTTACTGGATTGTTTGCATTCGAAATGCTGCTTAAAGTGATTGCCGATGGCTTGTTTGGATACCTATCGGATGGTTTCAATCTATTCGATGGCGGTATTGTAGCGCTCAGGTTGGTCACTAACTCTCTATTTTGAGGGCTGGCTTCAACGATTCCACAGTGATAATACTAATAATTTCAGTGTTTTGGAGTTATTTCAAGAAGGCAAAGGAGGTCTATCGGTTTTGCGCACATTTCGATTGTTACGTATTCTAAAATTGGTTCGTTTCATGCCAGCGTTGAGGTATCAACTCGTGGTGATGTTGAGAACAATGGACAACGTTACAGTCTTCTTTGGACTGCTTGTTTTGTTCATATTCATCTTCAGGTAGCTTTAATGATTCATTCGCTTTAATTGTTAATTGCATCAACTCTATAGTGAACTAATGTAGCTATTAACTATAATACCTACCAGCATTTCGAATGTAGCAAGAACATTTGAAAAGAGTTAACCATTAATAACCTATATCTGTCGGCTGGCTCTTACCCCTCTACCTTCATCTATCTTTTCTTCATTTTTCGACCTCTTTTTATTCAGTATCCTTGGCATGAATTTGTTTGGTTGTAAATTCTGTAAAGTGGATGATAATCCTTTTGGTGCTGGGCATCTGAAGAAGTGCGAACGCAAAAATTTCGATTCACTTCTGTGGGCGTTGATCACCGTATTTCAAGTAAGTGTCTCTTATTTGCTTCTTCATAAAATATTTGTGCAGTAGCCTCGTTGATTCGGTTATTATTATTATTCTTTGGTTTTGTTTTAAGTAAATTATTGTAGTATGATAGTTGTGTATGTTAGTGTGCGTGTGTGTGTGTGTGCGTGCTTTGTGTTCTATTGAATAGTTTTATTTGATTGTGATTGGGTTGTGACCGTTTTTATTGGTTGTTATTGTTGGTTGTCATTGGCAGCTTGAGTGTTGGTTGGTTGATTTGTTTGTATTCAGCACATTGGGCATGGTTTTGTTTGGATGTAAATTTTGTACGGACTCATCGAATGGACAACGTTGTAATCCAGTTAAACAATCGTCATCGATGTGGCAAGCAGGATACAGACACGGGCACTGGCACGACAGTGAAGCATCATGGACACATGAAACAAGTTGGTATTATGGTGGGGAGGATGGCGAGAGCTTATTCAAGAGGAACGATACGCAAACTCTAGAGGATAGTAAAGGAGGAGAATTGGATGCAATGAACACTAATGTGTTGGTGGCGGGGACGTGTGAATGTGAACGGACGAACTTCGACTCGTTTTTGCATGCATCCGTTACAGTCTTTCAGGTTCATGGTTTCATTGTTCGTTTCATAGTTTAGTTTTATCTTTTGATTTTAGTTAGTTGAGTGGTTAAGTAATTATTTGATGCTGATGCTGCTGCTGCTGCTGCTGCTGCTGCTTATAACAGAGTTTGGTAGATGAGGGTTTTGTATTTGTTTAGTGATGGATGGATCGTTTTGTTGATGAGTAGCCACTGATCTAGTAGTCATTGATTGTTATTTGAGATACTGACACAAGAAGACTGGAATATGGTACTGTTTAATGGTATGGCGCAAACAACACCCTGGGCTGCGCTCTATTTTGTGGCACTGATGACGTTCGGCAATTATGTTTTGTTCAATCTATTGGTAGCTATTCTAGTGGAGGGGTTCCAGGAGAGTAAAGAAGAGGAGAAACGTCAATTGGTGAGTAGTTGTTTAATGCGGGCGAGAGAGTTTTGTGTCAGAGACAATCACATTCATTGGCTGATCGCATAATTTCGCCTGCCAGCCGTTACTGCAAAATTGCTCGGAGTTGTTCATAGTATTCATATCAGGAAGAAGAGGCACGTAAGAAAGCAACTGAAGAGGAGGAGGAGAGGAAGCGTGAACTGGAATTATTACTGGCAAAAACTTCATCACCGTCGTTTATTTTGAGTCGAAAGGTTTGTAATCTATCTATCGTTTGAATAGTGTAGATGAATAATGAATAATCAAGTATTTTGATCGAGAGTACTTTTAATGCGATTGCGAACAGCCGGCAGTTTATTCTATTTCTAGAGCGACACAAAACAATGCACATGTGGATACAGTCCGGTGAGTCAGTTGAGCAATGCAGAACGACATCATATCTCTGTGTATCCGTTCATATCGAGCAATATCGCGAAACTATGCGAAGTTGGTTGCTTTTGTTCACTTTTGTTTGAGCATGAGCTTAATAAACGATGCATTGAAGGTTGATGCAAGCTCATCGAAATTCTACTCTCCCAAAGAAGGAGGCTTAGGCTTAGGCTATGCGCAACTGGATGCTACAGAAAGTGTTGGCAGTAGTAATGGTTGTTATCGTGGAGCAGACACAGGCACAGGCAATGGGCAGCCAGATGATGAACATTCGACGTATGATCGCTTCAGGGCTTTGGTTAGAGCTGATGCAGCAGTGAGGTTGGTTATTGTTATTATTGTTATTGTTATTATTATTATTATTATTATTATTGTTATTGTTATGATTGTTGTTAGTATTATTGTGGTTATTATAGTGATGAAAGAGGTGAGCAGCATGATGCAGTTTCACCGACATGCAGGTCGACAATACGTTTCAACGCGATCAGGCAAGACGATGGCGGCACTGCTAGTGAATCGGAGAATGACGACGAGCGGAGTGTACTTCGAAACAAGTATCGGTAAATATTACGGTTTTGAGTTAGCATTGATTAGATTGTTGATCTGATTGGTGTGGAATGATTTGAATTGCGCTTTGCAGACTGAACAGACACACGTCGCTGGTGCTGCCCAGGTTGAGTGCAAGCAGTGTGGGCAGCACGGGTTACGAGTACTGTGCGGGTTTGCGAGGTGCATCACGGCAGCGAATGAACAGCTGGTGTGGACTGCATGCTATGTTCAACCCGTACTGCCCTGTGCATGGACGTCAGGCGCTGATCGAAGCTTACGCGAGAGATAAATTCATACAGGTGATTGTATTAGGCTTTTATTACCATTATTGTTGTTGTTATTATTATTATGCTTTAATCAATATGTTGTTAATATTATTATTAAGTGTGATTGAAGGCTAGTCAAGAGTTGCAAAAAGCGATAGCCGAAGAGGAACGTCGTGAGGAAAAACGTCAAAATTCAGCATGGCGACGTCTCTATCGCAAGACTTGTATGTATCGACGTGCAGATTATTCGCTCTATGTGTTCAGTACGAAAAATGGTATTCGATTAAGGTAGGACGTGAATGATTTCAGTGGTCGTGATCAACTTAAACTTGAAGCAGCAAAATTGAAGCAGTTGAGCGAACCTGCGCCTAAATGCATCTAGTAGCTATGATCTAGTGAGGCAGAATACTTGTGCATAATAGTAGTATTGATCAGAGGTGATCGTAACTGATTGCTGCATTCAGATGTTTGAAATTAACGCAAAAGAAGTGGTTCGATTACACAATATTATTCTTTATTGGTATCAATTGTATAACGTTAGCAATGGAACGACCCTCAATACCACCCAAATCGTTGGAACGTCAATTTTTGACGATGAGTGGCTATGTGTTTACGGTGATCTTCACCATTGAAATGTCGCTTAAGGTAAGCAGATTGAAGCATTTCAAACTGATTACATGCCTAAAATGTCGGTCGTCGGATAGCAGTCAGTGGACAGTTTGGTGAAGGGTAATAGTATTATTTGAAGGTAGTAGCGAATGGGTGTCTTATTGGACAAGGAGCGTATTTCAAAGATGGCTGGAATATACTGGACGGTACTTTGGTGATTATCAGTCTGATTAATGTGGCTTTTGAACTGCTCGTGCATATTGGTAGTTTGCAGTTGATTGATTACATAGTAGTATCATTTGGTTTACAAATTTAGCATTTTGAAACATTGTTTGAAGCAGGACAGTGAATTAAGTGGTGAGATACTGGAATGGCACTGTTGAAGAACTAAGCGAAAATTACCGATTCAGATTCACCAAAAATATTCGGTGTGATCCGTGTACTCCGCTTATTGAGAGCATTAAGACCACTGCGTGTCATCAATCGAGCACCGGGCGTGAAATTGGTGGTGATGACTCTGATCAGCAGTTTGAAGCCGATCGGCAATATTGTGCTGATCTGTTGCACCTTCTTCATTATATTCGGTATTCTTGGAGTGCAGCTGTTCAAGGTTTTTAGTTATTCTTCTTATTTGTATTCTTAAAGTATAGGTTAGCATTATTCAAATGTTCTGTGAGTGTTGCATAATTACAGGTGGAGTATTTGAGATTTTTATAGAAGTAGTATTATGTTTGAAGGGCATGATGTACCATTGTATCGGACACAATATCAGCAACGTAACAACCAAAGCCGAGTGTCTGCGTGATCCACACAACAAGTGGGTGAATCACCGTTATAATTTCGACAATCTTGGACAGGTAGGTGACTTACTATTAGTTTTGAGATTTGAGTATTGACTCTGTATTGTCGACTGCTTGCAGGCGTTAATGTCGTTGTTTGTGCTGTCAAGTAAAGATGGCTGGGTTTCGATTATGTACCAAGGCATTGACGCCACTGGTGTGGATATGCAGGTCGGTTGAATATGCGGCTTGTTCTGTTCTGTTGCATAGAGACTTTGATTGTTGTAGATTCTTGAGAAGATGATAGTTTTAATTGGTGTTGTTGTGGTTTGTGATTATTAAGGAGTGTTTAGATTAAGAGCATGCATGACGCATCATACAGAGTTGATAGCATTTGATTTGAATAATGTACGGTTATTGAGTGTGCATTTGATAGGTACCTATAAGATAGAAGAAATGGTTGGTAGCATAAGATTGCTGATGGTATTTCAGCCGATAGAGAACTACAACGAATGGCGAATGATCTACTTCATATCGTTTCTGTTGTTGGTCGGTTTCTTCGTGCTGAACATGTTCGTCGGTGTGGTGGTGGAGAATTTCCACAAGTGCAAAGAGGCACTCGAGGCGGAGATGCGTGAGCGGGCACGTCAGAAGCGTTTGGAACGCAAGTTGAGACGGCAGAGGTATGAGGATCAGTATGGACATAAACGCAAGAAAAGTTAGTAGTTAGTGGTGTGCTCTGTTTAGTGCTGGTTGGCAGTGGCAGTGCTTATTCATATGGTGCTTTTAGAAGAGAAGTCACATCCGTATTGGTATAAGTATGGACAAACACGAATGTTCCTCAACAATATCGTAACGTCAAAGTACTTCGATTTAGCAATTGCAGCCGTTATCGGTCAGTTTGCGCCATTTGTGCTTGCTGCATGGAATGTTAATGTGTGATATAAACAAGTAGTAATATTATTATGTACTGATAATGATGTGGCGGCGTTGATTATTGGTGATGAATTTGAAGTGTACGTGTTCTTTTCAAGGTATAAACGTAATCTCAATGGCGATGGAGTTTTACATGATGCCAGCCGGTCTAAAGTATGTTTTGAAGGCGTTGAATTATTTTTTCACGGCAGTGTTCACGCTTGAAGCAGCCACCAAATTGATTGCGTTGGGTATTAAGCGATTTTTTAAAGAGAGGTTCGCTTTGAAAGTATTCCTTTGATATTATCATTTTACCTGTTTGTTAGCGAATAAGTTTTGCTTGAATGTTGACACTTGATAGAGTTAATCTCGACAAATCGAACTGTATTTTTGGGTGTATCACGTCAGAGCTATGTATATCGTTATTCCAAAAGTAAAAGTTCTGAAAGGTGCTTCACTTGATTGCTGTGAACTGCGACTGCGATACGACAACCACTTCACTGATCTGCTTGAATGATAATGATAGTAATAACAATGTGACTAGATAGTAATAATGTAGTGGTAGATAACAGTATTAGTAATGTTAATTGAAGATGGAACCAGCTAGATATGTTCATTGTGGTACTCTCGATAGCTGGTATTATCTTCGAGGAGTTTGAAGCGTTGGAGTTACCGATCAATCCGACGATAATTCGTGTTATGAGAGTGTTGAGGATTGCTCGAGGTAATGCTCGGCTTGGGTTGGGTTGTTTTGCGTTTAATTTAGTGTTTCGATGGTGATCGCTGATCGATCTGTTGTTCAGTGTTGAAACTGCTGAAGATGGCCAAGGGTATTCGATCGTTATTAGACACAGTCGGCGAGGCACTACCCCAGGTCGGAAACCTGGGCTCGCTGTTTTTTCTGCTATTCTTCATCTTCGCTGCGCTTGGTGTGGAGCTGTTCGGCAAACTGGGCAAGTTATTACATGGTTATTATTAGTATTAGTATTGTTGTGAATGAACGATTCTTGTTATAATTAGGATTGT